CAATAAAAGTTTAATTAATTACAGAAGGAATTAGTCTATATAAACCTGGCCTTCTGACAGTCTACCAACAGTGATGAGGTCTATTGTCTTGTTGCTTAAGAACAGAGACAAAAGTCTGTCAAAAGAGCTGAAAAGAACTATCTCCTGATTTCAAGAAACTGAAAGCACAACTAAATAAATACATTTCAGACAGTGCTAACTGAATCTGCATGCTCATCTAACGTCTACCTCTCTACCAAGTAGGTCTGTTATTTTTTGTCATTGAAACCATTCTAAAATTTGTTAGACTATTTTGTTCATGGTAGACAACACGTCCACACGTAAAATTTGACTCTGGAAGATTAGGATTAGTGTGGCTGCTGAAAATTACAGTAACGTTTGATCTCATTTATGCAAGTGGATTTCAAAGTGACTGGGGATGAAGCCTTCCATAGACATAAGCCTCTTATGAACAGAGGTCTGACTGTGAATGAACTACTATAAAATAGGCATTTTCTACAATCAATAAAATACAACACTCTGTATATTCGTATCAACAATTTTATGAACTCCCACATAGTAAAAAAAAATGATTCATAGTTTAAAATTAAACCCACTGAAATTTATAAATGATTATAGGGTGGATAATATGAAAGACCTTTTTTTATCATATACCTTATAGAAGATTTTTAATGAAATCGTATTTGGAATCTCTTATATTTTAGAAGCCTGATTGTGATCAATTTCATACTCAGCAGTTTTGGAGAGCTTCTCTACAGCTCAAGAACCTCTTTGCCCCATACTAACATACCTTGTAATGATCTTGTTCTGCAGAGGAAGAAGGAAATCGTATGCAGACAAACGGTGAGTTGCACAGCTCTCTGAAGCAACAACATGCAAAGAGGTAACTACCAGTCTCACCACGCAGTTAGGAGGAACTCGCAACCTCCATTGATAAAAAGACTTCTTGGGATTCAGCAGAGTTAGAGTTCTGTTGTTACCTGGCTTTGCATACAGGTCAAAGGATACTGCTATATAAAAGAATCTAGATTAGTGGCTGAAAAACTGAAGTTGAAAAACAAATATGTGGTGAAAAATTCAGAAGTGGTGGCAATAAACACCTACCTGTATTTCTTGATTATTTTAATCTCCTCCTGACTTATTGTCACAAATCTACCCCTTCCCCTTCGAGGCTGCATCACCTCCTCCTGCTCTGAACAACAAAGCACAGAGCTTCACCATCAGCCAGTGCTCACTGCACACTCAGCAAGCAGGAGGGGACTTGTCTGCAACAGCTACAATCTCTGCTAGAAACCCACCTCTTCCTTTGCCATTTCTTGACCTACCTTCATGCAATGACAACACTAAGCGCAGGAAGCCGAACTTGAGACATGCATGGTATCGAAAAACTGGGAAGAGTCAACTAAAGTTCTGCTGTATTTGAATGATCACTAACTACAAATAAACTAGCCACAAGGAAAACAAAACTGTTTTTAGCTATATGCAGCCACTTTTTTTTTTTTTTTTTTTTTTTTTTTTTTTTAAGATGCCAAGGATGCACAGTTCAATTCAGTTTAGTGCAGAGTTCTCAGTTTCAGCCACGCTACTCAGAACATAAAACCAATAAGCTATTTTCAAGCCAGGGAAGATCTCTAGTTTGCTTTGATTCATAAGCCCCACAAATACAAGGATAACTGAGAAACTGCCATTTTCCTATTACAGGGTTGTTTTTTTTTTTTTCCTGTTGTTTTTTTTGTTTTTCTCTCCCCAAAAGTAACATGAGTAATATGGGATTGAAGAATAATTACCTGATTTTAGCATCACATCGTATTCTGTAGAATCTGAAACTGAAATTTAGTAACTATCAATTACACAAACCAAAGATGAAAACCAGAGAAAGAAAAACAGACAGAATAGATATTAAATGACAGGTACATTGTTACCAAAAAGCTCCATTGTAACAAGATCAAAATCTCCTTCCCCAGAAGTACTGAATATGTGAGGTATTTGTTTACTACTCATTTCTTTTTGTTCCAATGGGATTAACTTTTTAAGAGAGCCAGTAATATCTTGTGGTGCCCAGAATGTATTCCAGTAGTAAGCTCGAAGTCCATACTCTCCTTCACTGTGTATGGGAAAAAGCATCAGTGTTATAAATACACTCTAGGTAATATTTTGAACATGATTTCCATTGCATTTCTGGCTTGCACTGGTTTGCTGGTCAGTTGAACAGCCATGCAAAGAATTACAGCTGAACACAGTGGCATTCAACAACTCTCTCATTCAACAACTGATCTATATATAAATGTCTACACACACACACACACTAGAAAAATCAAGGAAAAGCTGTTTAAACATTAACACTCAGACAAAAATCTACTCCTCAAAGAAAATCCTGCAAGTAATTCTATGGAATTAGATGTTTTCATAACTGCTGTATACACTATATGCTTTAAAGATCGTATTCCAGTTCCAGGCACATTATCCTTGAAATATTTTAACAGACGCTTCATACCATACAACAGTATAATTTTATGCTTGTGCTTTGATACAACATTTCACACAATTCTTGATATAAATGATATGTACAGATACACATATAAAGTATTTTTTCAGTGATTCAAAGAGACAGTCCATCACAATCGTCCTTTTGAAACTGCTGATGGACTGACCTTCCAGTTTTCAGAAACCTGGGACAGTAACAGACATCTGCTCAAAGTGTTTACATTTCTTGGCGGGAGCTTAAATAGAGTGACTTGCCCAACATTATGCTTTTAAATTTTGTTTTTGGAAGGTTAAAAAGGAGCTTCATTTGAATAGAGAAAACCAAAATAAGCTACGCATAAAAAAAAACAAAACAAAACAAAACACGCTGGGCTATGATGCCAGTAAACAGAAGTGGATGAACAGATTACAGAGCAAAGGCACCATTAATCAGGTTTCATTTCTCTCACTAATGTGAGATCACACTATTATCTTAGTGCTTAGTTCACATTTTTATTTTGTCTTCCATTTCCTGTTATGAAGCGTGTTATCCCAGTATCATAGCACATTACCCCAAAGTAACAAATGTAAAAATCTGCCAAAAAGACAAGACTAACACAATTAAAGATCTCATACTTGAACCACATACTGGAAAAGTACCTACCTGAAAGCAGCCACTATGGACTTCAAATAATACTTTCCCAAGGTGGAACACTCATAGGATTCTGCAAGCTGACGGGTAAAAAAAAATTGTAAAAGTAACTCTGAAGTGTTATATTTTAGCATCAATAACATGTCTTACATTGGGAAGTATTTATCCTATTTCTTCCCTTCCGAAACCCCCTACGCATGACAGACACTATCAAACAATTTCAACAAATGTCTCTAACAGGGATCATAAAGATGTACACATTCCCATTTAAAGTGATCACGTTTATAAGAACATTGAAAAAGCTCTTGATAATCAACCATAAATATAAGCTTTTACCAAACCTGCTTATATTTTGCTATAAGGCTTCACATATTTTAGTTACCTAAAATTTGTGGCAAATTTCTGTCATATAATCTGGATGCAAGCAAAATGTATTGGCTGTGCACTCAGAGACACTCAATTAGTCCTTTTGGGAAATACCAGCTAACAGAGAACTGCTTTGTGTTTAAAGCTTCTGATTTCAAGTAGCAAAGAAACTACTGATCTCAAAAATACGAACCCACATCAGCAGTACAAGAAAGCAAGCGCTGCTTAGGGAAGAAAAGCAGAACAAATCAAAATGGCTATGCATTAAATGTGAGCTATAATTAAAAACAAAAGCAGCTCAAAGAGAAAACACATAGAAAGGAAGAATTTTCAAGTATATAAAAGCAAAACAGAAGAACAAACTCCTTCAAGAACAATAATTTATCCACAATTGAAAAGACCTCAGAAATGTTGTCTTTGTGGTGAGAGAGAAAGACCCAGCTGTCTAGCTGCATTCCTAAAGCCGCACACCTCCAAAAAACATGCTTTAAATTCATTATTTTTGAAAAAATAAATTGTGACTCAAACTAAAGTCTTCTCCACAATCTTAATTTGATTCTGCAATAGATATTATTAAATTATTGCTATACCTATGTGGGGACTTACATAATTTTGGATTGGTTCTGCTTGCAGAAGGAATTTCTGGGAGCTGGGATCATTGAGATCATTTGTGTAAGTCAGATTAGGAATTTCTACACTTCCACCAATATATATTAAAGAGAAAGCTGGAGCTGAGGGAAAAAAAAAAAAAAAAAAAAAAAGCATAAAAAAAAAAATCAGCACATCTAATAACATTACAGAAAAGATTCCAGAACAAGACAATTGCATAAGTATGTATTTGTCTTTAGCATTAGCAAGCATTAGTTCTGAAGAGAAACCTGCACACATGTGCGAGATGAGAGTCCCACTGCTACACCAACAGAAAGGAGAGGACTGAGGTATAGGCTCAGATAAGCATTTCTACCAGTAATGCTTTAATTCTCAAACTTCCTTCTTTTTGCAGGGCTCTCCTAAAGAGAGATGATTTTCATGGCTATAAGTTGAGGTCTGTAAAAAAAAAAAATATATAAAAAGTAGGAACTCACTCCATTTTGGAAAAGTGACTGGAAGGCAGAGTGTTAATTCATCAAGGCTATTGGGAAAGATAACAGTTAAATAATGATGGTATTCAGAAGCAGAGACAAAAATTAGGAATAAAATACATGCCTTCTTGTGCACCTATCAATGCTGCTGATTTTTGGACATTTTGTTGTTTAGCAAAGACTTTAAAGAGAAATGAAATTCAATGACTGCACACACAGTAAGTGCTTAGCACAGAGCTTTTGGGATTAACCATTCACACAGTTCAAAACCACCGTCCCACCCGGACTGTGCTGGGGAATAACACTTACAGAACGAATAGTGCAGGAGTAGCACAACTACTGCAACTGATAAAGAAACTAGAGATAGTATTCCTAGAAGCCATCTTCTCCAGAAACACGGTCTCATCCATTTGAAGAAATAGTACTTCTGACGCAAGCCCTTTTGGTAGGATGTGCAGTAGCGAATATACAGATTTTCCTAGAGAAAGACACATAGGGTGGCATTATTAGGATGACAACACAAAGAGAGCCATTGTATCATTTTTCAGTATATTTGCCCTTTTAGTTTTTATCAGAGATACGAAGTAACAGATTAAGACAATGTGTTTCGTATTATGTCACACACAAAACCCATGCATTTCACTTTTTCGCATTTCAAATGATAAAAGGTCAGGGTGGGAAAGAGAAAAGAATTGCTGTCACTTTAATTAGAAGCAATTACATAGGAAGAGCAGAGATCAATACACACCAACAGAGGCCTGCAGGTGTCAGAAGGTGCCAGAGAGATTGCTTACTGTGCTCCTGCTGTAAAGCACAACTGTTGTCTCTTACCTGCCCATCAGCCTGCTCAGGGTGGTATGGAGCTGGTATGCTGTACACAGAAACCCGTCTGGAGGGAAAAGCCTGTGTCATGATGCCTTGAGAAATGCCTTCTGAGAAACGTAATAACAAAAATCCTAGATGAACCTCATTCCTTAAACATAAACCAGTAATAGCATACTGCTCACCAGCTCGCATACCAGGCTTCTCTCATTTCACCTTTGCCATACTGCTGAAAGCTGGAGCCAGCTGATCTGCAATCAAAGAAGGTGGGGAGGAAAAGTTGCCATCACTGTAACTCTTTGTTTTCCTAACTGCTAGAGTAAGATACAGATCCCTTTATTCGAAAACAGAAAGGACACACAAGCAATTTACGTGAGAAAAATCCCAGAATAAATACTGTAATTTCTAAAGAACACCTGATGGGATCCACACAAATCTTTATAAAAGAGAGAAAACAACTTGAAAGATCACCTGAATTTTCCAGTTTTAAGTGTGACAGACTTAAACCTGCACAGCAGAACAAACATAACTGCAAAGCAATTAACGTATTTCCTATTCAGACTTGAAAATGACATCAAGTCAACAAGCCAACAACTTCAGAGAGTTCTGCACATAAAAGAAACGAAGAAAATTGAGGATTCACATGGGGAAATTACGCATTACATACGATACCTTCATGTGTATATAGCCAAGAACAAGAACAAAGCTGGATAGAGGGAGCAAAATACAAACAACAACACAGAAGAGGTCCTAGGAAACTGTACTCCGGAAAACAAAAAATGAAACAACCGAAGTCAAACACAGGTCACATGGTGACTACAGAAGGGATTAACTGGAAAGCAATCGTTACAGGTCAGGAATGCAAAATACAGCTGTAGACAGACTGCTTTGTTAGCATCCTCCTCTTCCTACAAGTCTACCTCCACTGTGTGCACAAACTGCTAAATGGCCAACACTTCGCCCTCTCTTTTAGGGAAAAGAAACCCCTAAGAAGAGCTCAGACTAAATGAAATCTCTTTTTCATCATCTCCAAAAATGAAATCAGTATCTATTATTTTGTTTACGATATATACATTCAGAGAACCCAAATACGTGATGATTCAAGACACCTATCGGCGAGCAGAAGAATCAATTTCATGTGGACAAGAGCAAGACCACTGCAGTAACAAACATCATCATATTTACTCATCTTGTCAAGGTAGCCTGAAGATAAAAAAAAAAAATATCAAATTCTCAGGTGGATGATACATGTAAAATCTTCACTAGGGGGAAAATAAGACAGGAAATAAAACAGTAGTTTCAAAGCATGCAGACAATTAAAACAGAAGCTGGAAAAGGTATATTGCTAATGCTTTGTTCCATGCTTATCTGCAGAACTTCTGATCTCCAAAATGAGTGTCCTGCTACTTGAGAGGATTAAGCTCACTTGCTGCAATTCATTTTCTCTCTCTCTCTCTACTGGAAAGGGCAGGAAAACCAGGATTAGCAAAAGTACTAGTGGCTGACTGCTATGCCACTCTTAATTACTGTATGCACAGCTGAGAGGAAAAATGTGAGTCAGATTTAAGCTGCCATCAGATAGTCAGCTGTATCTTCAATTTCCTGATAGATTACACATAACATGTGCCATGTAAAAACAACAAAATGGACCAGGTGCTTATTTCCACATCTCCAGTGTTCCCAGATATCTCTATAGAGCAATCTCAAGATTTTTTCTCCGATTTTTCTCCGATTCTCCTTTCCCTGAGGCTTGAACAAAAGGCGCTTGTTACTGCCATATACTGCCATATACGCACTCCAGAATCAAGTATTGTGACATCAGGGAGACATGCAAAGAAATTCCCACACTGAACAGTTTTTAGCCTAACATGCTTTCTAATGAAGATATCCAGCACGTTTATTCCAGCAAAATAGCTTTCAAGTTATATGACTGAAGGCACATGTTTGTAAATCCATGGGGCAAGATTTGACACTCTTGTGTAGACACCAGGAAAATTTGGTCTTCCACATCCATAACCCCAGCTAACAATGCCAGTCAAAAACCATTTTCCATCTTCATTGCTTTGACATGACAATGGCCCACCAGAATCACCCTGAAGAAAAAAAAAAAAAAAAAAAAAAAAAAAAAAGAGTTGCATGCATTTAAAATCTGGAAAATTAAAAATGGGACAAAGTTCAGTGGGTGATATTTTTCCTGACGAATTCCAACAGTGATTATATTTTCCCATCTGCATACTTCTAACTTTAGAATTCTTTGCTTTGTTTTTCCTCTTCTTGAAGCAGATGGGAATGCACAGTTCTACCAAAGTTTACTCTTTCACAGGAGAGAGAGCTAGCTGGCACTCTTTAAAGGTATTAGGATGCTACTTTGTGAATTTGAAACATAAATCACAAAATTTACTTTCCAGTCTCAAAGCTAAACCCAGAATCTGCTACTAAATATGTATATCCATTTAGAGGTTACACACCTCAGGACACCAAATACCAAGCCTTTTCTTTTTTAAATAAAACTGTGATCGTTGTGTTTAACATGCAATATCACTTTTTTCAAATTAAAAGCAAATGAAATAGATTGAATATATTAATATTTAGTTTTTCCTCACAAAAAACAACCACCCCCTCCTCTCCAACTAACTGTTGTCTTACAGTAGATATAAGTGAGTAGATAATATTTAAAGGTACACAGTGCCTAAAAATATGACAGTAGCTCAAGCAAAAGATATGCCACTGTTTGGGGAAAGTCTCTTGAATCTACTTTAAACTTTCCTGAAAAACTCAGCTGTAGACATAACTTCTCTGAAACAACTGCTAGCAAATTGAGCTTTACCAAATCATTGGATGTAAAAGATGATTTCCAGAAGCAAAACCCGAGTTGGTAAGATTTAAATGTTTGCAAAGGGATGCTTTCTTTCCATGCACTTTTTTTTTTTTTTTTTTTTTTTTTTCCTCTACATTCAGTGAACTATTTTGCTTGAACTTTCAAAGGACCACAGCCTGGTCTGGTGATTGGTGACCCTGCACAGAGCAGGGGGGTTGAAACTAGATGATCATTGTGGTCCTTTTCAACCCAGGCCATTCTATGATTCTGTGATGTGATTCTGCAACATTTAGGTAGGAAGGCATACCAGTAGATTACCTAGTAAAGTCACCTGCTACCCAAAGCACGATCACCTTGAATTGTCTCACAAAATTAAATATTTAAATTTGAAGATCCATCTTTCATCCTTGACCACTAAGAAATTTAGAGAGATAAACATTCAAATTTCTCTTTAATTACTGGGACAAAAAGAAACTGGAACAGCAGTAATTTTCATAAAACAGAACTCCTACAATTCTATCAGCTCTAAAAACTGCCCAACATACTGAGACATTGCAGAAATTCACCCCCAGGATGTTGAATTATGCCTTTCACTAGTTCTGTCTTGATTGGCCAGAGAGATAAGCAAAGAAACAAATTCTCCAGTTAATGAAAATGATGTTTGACATCAGTGGTCTCACAACCTGCTAGCAAACAGCTGGTACTTCATATTCCACAGAAAACCCTCAGACACTTCTTGCCACAAAAGCCACTATGGTGTCTTACTTCTATATAGTGAAATCTAGAATATCTTGAAGGTACCAAATCATCATCATAAAAATCAGCAATTTCACCTGCTAAAACAAATGAAAATTCAGAACTTCACTTATTATTTTACAGCACTGCCAGAAATATTATGCATTTGAAAGTTTATATCTAGATGACTGCATCTTATCTGACTGCCCTGTAGTCATACACCAGAGAAAAGAATCCAGAAAAAAAAGTCAAGGTAGGTTCTCAGTTTCTTCTTCAGCTGATAGACCCTCTTACCAGAAATAGCCTACCTTCACCACACTACTATGTGCAAATTCTCTGGACCTAGACTTGCAAATGAAGTGTCATTCATGCCCATCAAGCAGCAAATCTCTGAGAATACCCAAATTGCAGACTGGTTGATAGCTCTTTTACATAGCTGTGCTTCAGTAAAACAAGGCAACTTGCCAGTCAGTTCTTATGCCTCATCACGTGACAAAGAAAGACAAAATAAACTTGTGAGTTGTATTGAAGTACATACTTTGCACCCATCTCTTCTTCCAGACATTAATCCTGCACAAAACATTCTGGCTGTGATAATTCCATATGTGGAATGACACAACGTTTGGTCAATAATTTCTACCTCTGCTTTCTGAAGAATTGCAGCACCTTCATCATCTGGAAAACAAATTGAAAGGAAGATGATTCAACAGAGCTTAATATATTTCTTATCCATTGAAAGCAAAGCCATGAAGACTTCAGAAAATACTGCGTGTATGTTTGAACTCTAAGCTATTCCAAATGGCCAACTATTAAAGTAAGGAAAGCCACTTCTAAGTATCATGCATCTATATAATGTGATCTTGGCCTTTTAACAAGATTGACCAAAAAGCCTTTTGTAATATCTTTTGTAAAAAGCCTCAAGATTTCCTTGTTCTTTTTTTTTTTTTCCCCCTCCCACTTTGGAAAGAAAATAGGACTTCCTAAAGGTATTTGGACTATAATAAGATAGATTTGCAATCAGAGTTGTCACCACCATGGAGCCTAACCACCACTACATGCAGCCAGTGTACCATCACTCCATCCTTTCCCTCAACTCTTCTCTCTGATATTGTACAGCCACAAAGAGGGACAAAGGGTACCAGCATTTGCGACAAGGAAAAGGCAGTTTGAGACAAGGTGGTGAGAGGGCCAGGCCTTCTGCCTGACACAGAGCAGCTCACTGTCATGTGGGGCATGCACTCTGTCAGTAGTACGACCATTTTATCACACCACATCCCTAGGATGAGCTGGTGCCTCACAGGCAGGTCAGCATCTCGGGACTGTTCAGCCTGCAGAGGCTGAAGGCAGGAGTCCTTAATTTAATTTCCTTGCAGCAGGCAAGGAAAAGTCCATTTAGGCTCTTAATGCACCTCCAAGAGTAACAAAGTGGAAAAATGATGCTGTATGACTCAGAGGAAGTGCAGCTTCCTGTAAGTTTTAGCTAGCTGGAGCACTCAGGTCTTCCAGATCCACTGGAGTGGTAGCCAATTTTCCTGAGCAAATGAAGGTATCTAGATACCAGAACCTATTTCCAGAGGGAAGCAAATTGAAAACACTACAATTTTGTGCATGCCTCAGAAGCAGAGGCAGGTATCCTGCACACAAGCCTGCAGCTGAGGATATTAAACTCACCCACTTCCTGCTTTTGGCCCCAACCTGTTATCCAGCACTTCTCACCACTGCGAACTTTGTGTGAGAAAGGAGGCACGCAGATTGGCTGAATGACATGGCTCATTGTATCTGGCCACGGCTTGCTCAGCTGCAGCAACGCAATGTCATAGTCATAGTTCCTGCTGTTGTAGTATTCGTGCACAATGATCCGTCTCACTGCAGATACAAACTTTGCACGGCCTTGTATTCGCATCCCCAAGTGAGCACGCCATGCTCTGGGGTCAGCCAGCCTGATTGGAAACAATAACACACACCAAATCTTCAAAAACATGCTCCAAAATGCACAATCTACCCCAGCAGTGGAACATGCAAAAGGAGGGCACATCATCCTTCAGTCCAGTTCAAACTGGAAGCTAAAGGTGTTTCAAGAAACTAGCAATGTCTAAGAAGAGTTAGGAGGGAAGACTGCTTACTTGCTCCCTTGAAAGCAGTGAGCTGCAGATATAAGCCATTCTTTTGATATCACTGATGCCCCACAGTACGCAGCTCCCACAAAATGGAGGCTGACCTGCCAGGGCCATTCACCCTCCTTAGTGTTTGTACCACCCACAATGCGAGAGATGAGATTGCCACTCTTGCTGCTGCCGCAACCTGCAAGAGGTATTTCAAGTTATTGTCTCTATCCCATGAGAGTGCTTCCCACATAGGGTATGAAATAATCACGGAATCACAGAACTGCAAGGGTTGGAAAAGACCTCAAGAGCTCATCAGGTCCAACTCCCCTGCTGAAGCAGGTACTCTACAAAACATATTAAAATACAACATTATTTGAAGTTCATTTTCTTATCCTGCTTTAATCAGAGAACTCCTATATTCAATACTCTGTTCCTGAAACAAGAAGTGACACCATAAATAAGGCACTGGCATGGGTAAGTTTATTTTCTAGCTCTGCCATAGAAGTTGGCTTCAGTCTTTCTTGTGTCAGAAATGTCAGAGCATCCATTGATTTAACAAGCAGCACAATTAATACAGTAAAACAGACAACTCAGTCTCTTTCTCTTACTATTAGTCCTGACCTGAAAGGAGCCCTTGTGGTAAGTAAGTTCAGTAGTACCTACACACTTATTTCCAGCAAAAACAGTGGGAATGGTGCGGTTACAGTAATAGCTACATATATGTAGTTAGGTCATCTAATACCTCAGAAACCAAGTGGTTAAAAAATTACTTTGCTTGGAGACAATTGAAGGTCTGAAAGTGTTGTATATTAAAGATTTGCACTAATTCAGAGAGCGATAGAGAAAGACGTCTGCAGGACCTCGTGCTTCTACTCTTGTGTGCACATAAAGCCTCTACTCAGCAGTTTTATTCCCATGTTCCCAAAGGTTGATACCAGCACTTCCCAGCACACAAACAAAGAATCAAAAGCAGCATTAGTGTTTAAAAAAAAAAAATAAAAAAAAAAAAAAAAAAGGGGAGGATGAACATGGATTGTTAAGATGTAAAACTACATCCAAGGCAGGTGCTGGCAGGTTTGACATACAGCTGCTGTGGCAGGAGCAGCTGAAGTTAAAAAAAAAAAAAAAAAAAAAAAAACACCTCCTCTTGTACTCCAAAAACCCAAAAAAGATATAGGACATTCACTTAAAGCAAGTGAATCCTATCATATTTTCATTCCTACAGCAGTAAGAATCACCTGTCTATTTTATAACAATACAAGCAAAAAGCTTGCACAGAGATTTCTTTACAAAGGTTTGTGACTAGAATCTAGACTGATGCTGTGAAATACTGAGGTCTTTCCCACCAAGAGACAGAGAAGTTAAACATTTTTGTTTCTTACTTCACCTGTGTCACTCCTGAAGTCTCAATACACTCCGACTCCAACAAAAATACTTGACTCTGCTGCAGCAGTGAGAATATTGCTTACCAGCTGGCCAAGTTCATTCTGCAGTTACCCTAGCTTCTCCACTGAAACTTCCCATACCTGTAAACCACACCTCCCACAGATACAGCAACCAGACATGACGTAAACTGATAGCTGACTGCTGTCCCACTATCACCAAGCAGATACAGTAAAAACCTCACTGCATGCTGCATGAGTAATACATACTCTAAAAGAGGAAGAAAGAAAGGGCTTTAAAATGGAAAATGTTCAAAGTACAAAACAGCAGGAGGGACTTACTGCAACTGCTTTCATCACTTCCATCAGTACAATCCACAGTCCCATCGCATTTTGCATTTTGTTTCTTAATGCATATGTTATTCCTGCACCTAAATGTGTGGTTGGTGCAAGGAATACCTGAAATAGTTGTGTGAAAAAAGAAAGATGATTGTTGGAATGGCTTTACACGCAAACACACAGCTGCACAGACAAAATTAATGTGTGTGTCAGTAGACTGGACAAAACACAGCAAAAAGCACTTTGCCTAGAATGGCTTAATCCAGTCTTTAAATTGAAGAAATTATTCAAGTAGAGCTGCATCTAAACCAGTGCCTGTGCTAAGCTGGAGGTGCCTTTGTACATAGATTGCCATTCATCTGTTCCCAGAGGATTAGTGAACATAAATATACTAGCAAAAACATGCCAATAGAGTAAGCGCTAGGCAAAGAAAGGAAGAATACCCAGTACTCTGGTTTGGAACCTCTTTTATATATCAACATTAAAAAAAAAACAAAAAAAAAAAAAAAAAAAAAAAAAAATGCAGTGGAAGCAATCTACTAATTGTATCCAATAATATTTCATTCCCCATCTAAGAGTTTTTGTCTCCATGCCTCACAATAAGGGACATCACTCCAAGGAATCTATTTTTCTTCTCCATAGACAGAAATATGCTGTGACCATTTACACGGATTGTCAAAGTTAAGCACCTCATAAACATTACAACTCTTTAAAAGTGTTACTTGCAGCTCTTGCTAGTGGGGCTCCCTTTCATATGCCAATTTGTCCATTTGTTCTGAGAAGTTAAAGAAAAGACTATCTCAAACCATTCATGTTCTGCCAAACACAAAACTTCCAAGGCATTTTAAAAGCGTTGCCTTATAACTCTGAAGACAGTTCCAAAGAAACAATCATTTTTCTTGATATTTTACATATGGTAAAATGAGTCCAAGAAATAATTTGCCAAAGATTTTACTTTAAGGAGATAAAATCTGGGAATTAAATCCCTAGATCCACATCCTGGACCCACAGTAGTTAATTCTCATGTCTCATTTCACTGAAACAGATGTTCATGAGTTCACAAAAATACCACAACAATTTAGATCAGTAACTACTTGTTTACAAGCATAACAGAAAATTGAACAGAATTATAAAGCCTGTATTAGATTTGCCTCTTAACTCTTCATATACTGCATCTAGTATTCAAATCAGGATGGAGTAAATAATAGAACAAAAAGAACTGGAAAAAAAGGAACCAAGAGAGAAGCCTTACTGTTGGTGCAGTTTTGCTCATCTTCTCCATTCTCACAATCGTTTACCCCGTTACAGACAAGCAAGTTATCCTGTATCGCAAAGCTGGAGTTACAGTTCCACTCAGGGACAACTTTAAAACATGAGTCAAGTCAGTTACAGAAGCATTATCACAATACTAACACTACGCTTCTGACCAAGTCCAGGTATCACTGCCATAGCTTCACTGCACTCTACTAGAATGATTTTAAGTGCCACATTACACATGGAGAAAATGAAGTGCAAAAGAATTCAGTAACCTATGCAAGTTCACACAGTGCCCCAGGTGGAATGGCTGGTGCTCTTTCAACCATAGGCATTTATTACCACTCTCATCTACTGTGTCCAACACGATTTGCCATTCCTATGTGAAAAAAAATAATTACACCTGAAATAGAACAGAACTTTGTGTTTATCAAGCATTTATCACAGGAAGAAAACCTAAAATACAATCTCTTAGAACCATTTTTCCATATTAATTTTTTTCCCTCTTGCTTTTCAATAACATACCTTCTCCATTCCTAGTTTCTTTTGTAAAATCCTCAAGAGACCAAATGATGGCCTGAACCTGGACACAGAAGGTTAGAAACATCTTTCTTTTTTTCTCCTAAAAGAATTTTCAGCTTTTTTTAGTTTGCCTCATAAGACCAGAGAATACATTCAATGGGTTTTGTAGTTCAGATCTCTGATAAGTGAATACAAACCACAGAAGAGTTCATCACTTTCGTCGAAGCAGTTGTTTACCCCATCACAGCGCTGCATCTGCTGGATGCATAAACCAGTAGAACACTTGAAATATCCGGGTGGACATGCTGGAGGTTTAAAAAAAAAAAAAAAAAAGCAAAAATTTTTAATTGCACACCAATTAGAACAAGTGGTTGGTTATTCAGTGTATTGCATTCATCACCTAGAGCTCTTTGTAGTAACAACAAGATTGCAAACAAAACTTTGGCAATGAAAACAGGAAAAGCAGACTTCAATTGACTGATATTCATCACCCAATAAATTAAAGTGGATGATCTCACATTATTTCGGATTTTATTAAATAGGAATGAAATAGCAAACAGATCTACAGATTTACAGATCGTGCAGGCAGAATGAAATGCAAGGCTTCAGGAGTTCACCAGGATTACTGCATATGCATGCTCTGGCCATACAGGAAGCTTTATGGACTGTGCAGAAGAAAATACATTCTATATGTACAGGAAACCAAAGCACGCTGCATGCGATCATAAACCTTAGCCACATAGCCTTGACAAGCTAGAAAAAATTCTTGGTTTGCTGGTTACTTAGCTTAGAAAGATTAGCAGTAAAAAATTAATATCAACACAGTTTCCAGCATAAACATAATTAAGTCTAACCAAAGATAACAAGTTCTACTTCATAGGGCTAAAAATGCAGAGATAGGTTGAAAAAGAAAAACTGATCTTACGCTGGCTGATGTTATAGCTGCCGTACTCCACCAGAAGGGGCTTCTCTGACACCTTTGAACTGCACTGAAGCTCAATGTTAACAGCAGAGCTTGCAATGTGGAAGACTGTTTGGTGATCAACATAGAAACCGCAGTACCTAAAAAAGATCAATAGATTTCTAGAACAAGCTGCATCAAAATTATCTTACATCCAATTTAAACATCAACATCACTGATATTCAACAATACATAGTAGCACACCTTAATTAAGAACCAAAATCTGGAACAGCATCCAAATTCCCTAAACACTAGTGTATAATCAATGAATATACAGATGTTATAATCATGAAGTAAACAAGAGAGTTTTGGCTAAGCAGATTATTATATCCAAAAGAAAATAGACAGAATGCTTATCCTTGTCCTGGGCTCACTGCAAAACTCCAAAGGGGGAATCCTTTCCAAAGGGAGATTCTTTCCCACTGGTAGTCAGCTCTTAAATGGTCTAGGAGAGGTAGAGCCAGGTTCCACCTCTTCCAGCAGCACAGGTGAATTGCCTTCACCTGTGCTCCCATGGCTGACTCGTTGCTCATCTCAGGTGATCAGAGGTTCAGGCCGTGATTCAGCAGTTCCCATACAACTAGTGATCCTTAACTTCTCAGTACAATAACCTCTATGCATGCAAGCAGAATGTTTTACCAGAAATTCAAAAGCACTGGAAATGTAATGAAGAAATTTATTGTCAAACACAGTACTTCCATCACCACTGCTGCTAACTCTTTTCAAAAGATCTGAATTCTAGGGAAGACACAGGCAGTTCGGTGTGAAGGGAAATGTCATACAGTCGAGAGCCAAGTTTAGCTGCTCTCATTTTAAAGAATGACTCTAAAGAAGGGTGCGGAGTTTTATCAGGATAAAATTGGTCTGACAATTTTGGTGGTAGAGTAAAAAAGATTTAGAGAAACTGAAAATATTTCTTCTTATCCGCTCATCTTTCATCCATCATTAAAACTGCAGAATTAAGTTCTGAAATTCATATCTTCAAACATCTATTCTGGACGAAAAAGTCCACTGGATACACATCTAACTTTGAGCTATTATTTGGTAAATAATTTCCTTGTACTTCTTAAGTATCCCTTAACTCAGAGAAACCTAAAAGCTCACAGATCCCAAGAAACATTTAATCCATTCACTGCCACTTTCATCAAAGATGCCAAGAATGTTGCAGCAGGCATTTAGATGCTACTCTAGCTATGGAGGAAATAATAGTAATAATAATAATAATAATAATAATAATGAAGAAAAAAAACCCTACCCTCTTTAAAAGGAAGATGTTGCTGGATAGGATTTAAAAACTGGATACAATTTTACACGTGGTAAAACTTTGACAGTTTAGGCTGTACTACAAGTAGAGCTAAGCTCCTTTCCCTCTGTCTGAACAACAATGAATAATACCAAATACATCACTTACAAGAAAACCATGTGGCTTCAAGGCTCTTGTCAAAAAGAGTACTTATTAGTCTAAATAGACAGAAAAGCAAAAGCATCTGTAATAGTTCTTAGCACATTTAGCATATACATTTTCTTGACAGCAGTGAGAAGCCACAGAGTATGTTTAAAGTGAACTCGAATGCAAAATGAGTTATTTTATTGTTAAATAGACTAATGCAGTCATACCCAGAGGTAAGTTTTTCTCTTGTTTATTATTGCAATGCAGAAGGGATAGCTGAGAATGGAGGGAAACTACGGCATTTCTTCAGAGCAGCACTTCACATCAATAAACGCAGGCAACCTCTCTGTTAGTGAGAATTTTAGCTAAAGGAGCTTATTAACTGCAAATCCTCCAACTAGGGAGAGCAACATATTCCGTATAACCCCTGGGAAAAAGACAAGGACTGGATGCAACCACACAGTTCTTGTCTCTGGTTGCATGAAGCTGACTCAAGTAGTCAGAAGAAACCTCATCTGCACCATCTTCATAAATATAAACATGAAGAATGGAATTATGTTTTAAGCTGCCATTTCAGGGAGCTGAAGAGTTGGTGTTCTGTTTTTTGTTTGCTCACAAAAAATTGAGAGCGTGCACTATTTTGTAGTTCTTCAAAACTAACCCCGAATATATTTCTGAGGGTCACACTCTGACATTTGATTCTGTGAAATATTTAATGAATAGGCTTATTTAAAAGCGAGTCTTTCATGGAGAAAATTCTTGCAATATGAACTCATCATCAGATTTTGCCTTTATTCAATCCATCTCTCAGCAACCTCTAAGACTTCAATTTCTTCCACTTATTTCATAAAGAAGACCAAGAGAAACCTATAAAAACACACCATATTGTCTGTTTTTATCAGCTTTTTTCATGCCTGTGTTATTGGGCCACCAATTCCCATTAAGATACAATGTTAGTAGCTTCAGGCAAACTGAATCATCTCTACAGAAGTACAACCTGGTATCAAAGAATAAGGAAATGTTTCTTCCTCTACTTGTAGTTTTAGTAATGAGTTCAGAAATTCACTTTCAAATCTGATCTTACTGATGTTTCCATTTGAACAATTAAAAAAAAAATTAGAATTCAACCTCCCAAATTTAGCCTTGCCTCATCATTCACTGACCTAAAAATGATTTTAAAAATTATAGAAGAAATGGGTGGAAAATAGCAATATTGATGTAAATAAAAAGCATTTAAAAATGGCATACCTTGACAGCCCACCTCTGTGGTTTCTCTTTCAAAAGCTAGTGACTGGAATGAGGAAGGAGTTTATTTCCAATAAGCTCATTGTAGTACCTTTCACTGATAACTCCATTAAGCTTGGTGTCATGAGCAATCATGGAGTTTACTTACACTTAAAAGTGTTTCTACAGTTACCCTAGACTTACATCAGGGTCTACTGGACATTTATCTTCACCCACACTTCTCATTTCTTTCTCCCCAGTGAAAACCAAGGGCCTTTATTTTCAGCCTCCTGAAGCTTTTCATTAGATTCTTCTTTATTTTTTTTAAACATCCTATTTATGAAAGTTCAGTTACATCATCAACATAGTGAAAAAAGAATCATAAGAGACACAAGTGAATTATTTGTCTTAGCGTAAACTCTCAAAGGAACCATGGTAGTGATAATAAAGTTTATATTGGTAGTGTTTGTTTAACAATGTATGCAGAAGTACTTACATGTGTTCATTAATTTTCCACCATCCCCGTTCACAGCCTTTAATATTCTTCTCACTGATGGTATAGTTATGAAACTTCAGAGCTATACCGAGGTTCTTCTGTGGAGTCTGTTGTGAGTAAGAAGGACAGTGCAAGGCAGCTTCCTTTTCCTTTTGTGAACATAGCTCATGATAGACTTCAGAATTATCTCAGCAATTACAGTGCTTGGCAGTGCCAAGCTCTGGGAGCTGTGCTGACTTCCCTGACTCAACATCCAGCACCTGAGACACCTGGCAGCTATTAGCCCTCAGTCAAAGCAAAGGCTGGCAAAGGGCCACCACAGCTGCAGGCTTTCTTCCCCTCTAGCCAACAGCCCTTTCATCTTCAAAAAGCCACTGTCCATAGATAGAAGGCAGCTTTTGTGTCAAGATCAAAGCATTCAAATGCATCCAAATTTACTTGCACAGGGACAGACAGCCACAGTGGATTGTGAGCAAAGACACTGCACCTGTGCCACCTTTGAAATGCTGGGAGTTATTTCAACAATAACATGGTAGCTTTTTCTGACATGTTCAGTCAAGGACTCGCTAACATTACGGAAAATATTTTGAGCCTAGCAGTATCATAAGAGCTAATTGTAGCTTCCTTTATTAAAAGAAACAGAACTTTTTAAGAAACACTGTTGCCTCTTGCAAAAGCAAGGGCTGAGTCACAGCAAGAATTAAGAAACGAAGATTTTTCCTCCTTTCTTACAGAAAATACATAACGCGGAAAATTTCAATATCAAACTACAGGGAAATTAAACTGTTTTGAGAAAAAAAACCACAGACAACTCCCAAGACTTATGTTGGCAAACTATACTTCAGAAGTTCATGCTTAAGTTTAGCAAAAAGGTCATCACCATAATTTTCTGGAGGAGAAAAAAGCTGCAGATCTTGGCAAGCTAGACATCTCTCAAACTGGTACAATTCAACATGGGTAACTAGTAGCTCAAGTAGGAAAATGAGCAGAGTAGAACACATTTTATTCATTATCCCGTTCTCATAGAAAAATTTGTGATTACAAACAAGTACCAGAAAATTTCCCCAAAATCTCAATCTTGCATTTGTTTTATTTTCCCAATTTGGACAGCTGATCTTGCTACAAAAGAGGATGTAGTAATACATTTTATTTATAACTTTAGAAACACCACCCCACCATCAAAACCATCCAGAAATCCAAGAAGAGCTAAGGCGGAATACAAGTTTGTGCATTTGAAGGTCAATGAAGAAGAAACATTAAAACAAAATGTGATTTTTGGGATTTGAACTACTAAAGAAGACTAAAGTTTGCCACAGTCAATCACAGGATGATTGTAATACACTAACTTGACTTGACTGTGAAGGGCAAAACATAAACCAAAGATCATCTCACAGCAGAAAAATCTACTATCAGATTTTCTTGGATAAATGGAAAGACTAATCTCATCAGAAAATGCGTAATAAAATTATCTTAATCAAAATAAACTTATGATTTGTGTTCGGGAAAGTGGCTGAAAATATAAGTAGAAGGATTCTAAAACAAAGTAGTCTGTGGGATTGCATTGTTTGAACAGACTAACTTACAAGAGAACAATCCAATTTATTACACATAATGAAAATAGACTGAAAAAAATTATCAGCAATACTGGTGTGAGTAGAGGAAAAAGGTTCCTTTTTGTCCTCTTCATTTTTCCTCCAATTTGAGAAGTTTGAAAGAGGAGAAGAAATTTAATTCCTACATTTTCTGCAGTGAAGCAATTCTGCAAGCTAAAGTCAAAATGTATTTCTTCTCAGCTCTTTATCTTTGGAATCAATCAGACAAATTAGAGTGTTTGCTACATTAAGAATAAATGCACTGAAAACAAAACCAAGAGAGCACAGACAGCTATTCAGCTGTGCCGTTTCTAGGAACTGCCATATCTGTGAGGATGAAGATGACCTCTTCTCAATTGTTTCTGCTGTATTTCCAGGCATTGTGCTCTCAAAACAAGTAACAGCACTCAGAAAGAAGTCTGTGTTACCTGGAAGTTCCACGCACAAAGACATTTTGGAGGGTAATAGCTCGGGTAATAAGGACTTGTGATTCTCCCTTCATAGCCAATTTTCTCTTTTGTCACTATGGCTTTTCCACACCCTAGAAAAAAAAAAAAGAGGAGGCAAAAGATGGTAAACCATCTACTTCAGCAAAGCTATTTAGTTAGCTATGCATTCAAGTCTTACTCATATTTCACTGTAAAACTGGACAGCTTAGAAATTATGTTTATGTGGTTTCAAGTTGTCATGAATTACCCCTTTCCAGTTTTGCAGACAGATAAGGGTTGTAAACTCTAAGAACGCTTGCTGAGATTCTGCTTGATGAGAGGTACATGCAACAGAGTAAGCTCGTATCACCCACTGGATATTCTAAGGCTGTCAGAAATGACTGCAAACTTAGGCTTTAGCTCAAAGGTTTGGGAACAACAATGTTTTTTCCTTCTTTAAAGAGAGCCCTTTACTGGGATTTTGACTTCTGTCTTAGCTCTGTGGGACCAGGAGAAAACAATATGAAGCACTATCAGCCTCCTGGAAGCCAAAATGTGTTTTTATAACATATCAATGCATTTAGAAAGTTTAAAAGCAAACAAAACCAAACAAGTAACAACGTACCCTGAACATAAAGTTACTTATGATGCAAAATTAATCACGTGCTTTCATGATGGCATTTCAGTGCTTAATCACTCTCACCACTGAAAGTAAGCAGTGCCTTTTTGAGCAGCTTAATTGCAGCTTCATTTCCTCTTTTGGATTGCGTTATACTTTTGTCTTTACGCTACAAGGGTAAGGTTCCTTATACTCTTTATCATTGTGACCGATTTCTTCAAGATTAAATCAACAAAAGGCAGAAGAGTTTTAATGAACAAGCATAACTGAGTCCTTCATGTTACTGAGGAAGCAGAGACTAACAATCAAACGCAGACAGAGCTACTGAAGCTTTTCTCTCTCAAACTCTCAGTACTGAGGTCCTTCCACCTTTAACGTTATCACCAAGACCCAAATAAAGAGAAAGGCCCAAGCACTGCCACATCTGGAATAACAACTCCACCTACTGGCACACTGCAGCTCTGACCTACTAAGTTCAATTAGTGCTGGCTCAGCTTTCTACATTCATATTTTGCGTAGACTGCTAATCTGAACAGCCGAAATTTCTCCTGAGCCACTTAGCAATGCAGAGGAGATAAAGGAGAGATAGGAATGTAGGGAAATACTGAGATACAGAATTGTAAGGAGTCATTTATTCATAGCAAGGAACATGATAGCCACTTAGGGCTTTTAGGTAGAAAGAATACAATAAATGCATTTCCACGCATAACAAACTCACTTTCTTGTGTAATGACCTCAAAATAGCCGTGGAATCCCTTCTGTTCCTTTACGTGTGCTGCCTTAAATATTACCAGCATCAGATTATTCGTGGACACAAGTGATACCAAGGAATCAGCTGGTTCGCAAGCCCTACAGGGGGGGCAGGGGGGATGAAAAGAGTAGTTTGCATCAGCCGCAGGTTGTTCCCATTTTGAGTTTTTCCCTGCTGCAGTGCTCATGTACTTTAAAGCCTAGTTAAAAAAATCCATGCATTTAAACTCAGAAGTGCCTCTAATTAGACCAGTTAGAAACACCACTGATTTCTATTGACAGAAACTTAGAATGGTTTAGGCTAGAGGACCTGAAAAGTCATTCTGCTCCAAACCCTCTGCTGTGAGCACGGTTGCCCAGGATCCCATGCAACCCATCCTTGGGATGAGGCATCCACAAACTCTGGGCAGGCTGTGCCAATACCTTATCACTCTTAGAGCAAGAAGTTTCTAACATCTAAGCTGAACATCTCTTTTAGTTTAAAGCCATTCCCTCTTGCCCTATCACTATCACACTGTAAAAACTTAGTCCCCCTCCTGCTCGTAAGCTCCCTTCAAATACTGGAATGCCCCAGTGAGGTCCCTCTAGAGCCTTCTCTTCTTCAAGATAAAGAAGCCCAACTTAGGTGGAAAACAAGTTCTCTTACAGGAAAAAACTATGACATTTTCTTCCACTTAACATCTGCTTCCCACTGACAAAGAGAAAATTCCATCCATTAATGCACAAACTTTTCATATTTCATTATGCATGTGAAGATGCACTCTATTTGAAAAAATAAAGAAGAATCTGAAGAATATGTAATTTCTTTAACGTTTCCACCTCTTTACAGGGATAAAAAAAAAAAAGTATTTTTGGTATTGTGTGCATAGCAATAAGAGTATTTTAAACAAAGCAAAAAAAAAAAAAAAAAAAAAAAAAAAAAAGCATATGACAAATCCTCACTGATTTTCAATGAAATCTTAATGAGAATGTATACTTACCGATACAGTATCTTATGCTTGATTGGCATCAAAGAATCATAAATAGTTAGTGAGTCAGTGATGCAGTTATCTGCTTCAATCTGAAGGGATACTACTGAAAGACGTATAAGATGGCCCACTAATGCTATCAGTTTCAGATAGCACACTGTTCCCCCAGAGGTAGCATGGATATCCAGAGGAAAATGCTCATGTAGACGATCAGCATGCAGATCATACATACAATTTGTTCCTGTGGAAACATCACATTTTCAGCACTGGAAACCTGCTTGAGAACTCTTAAATCCATGCAGAGTACAAAAAAAAAAAAAAAAAAAAAAAGCCTAAATATAATTTTGAACTAAAGCAATGTATGAATGTTTGCATGCTTGCATATCCAAACAGGAAAACAAAGTAGTCTGTGCCACTCACTGTTTTTATTCTACTTAAGAGTCTGTGATAAAGGAGAAGTCTATTAATAAAGCTAAAGAGCATGGCAAAGAGTACTGTAAATAAATAGCTGTAAGGGTACTCATATAAAAGCTCTGCCATTTTGTCCAGAGTTAACAAAGATCTGCAGACCTCCAAAGGATAAACAACAAACAATTATTCCCTAGGAAATGTTCAGATTCACCTATTAATACAGGTTGGAAGTGATTCTAGAAACACTTTTGTTTAACCTCCTGCACAAAGTAGAGTCAAAATGAATTCAGATCAGGATTTTGTAGTGTCAAGTCTTAAAAACATTTGCAGTATTAGAAGTCACTGTTAGAAAATAAGCGTTATAAAAAATAAACAATACAACTTAGCCTAGACAAACTGTTTTTATTAAAAAACAACTACAACTACAAAAGCACATAACATACATTAGACAAAAATCACCAAAAAGTTACCCTACTTACATACAATTTTCAAACTGAGCTGAATAAAGCAAGGCTTTCAAGTCAAATATATTGAGGTGGTTGTTTCAATTAAATACAGCAGTCCCCATTCAGCAAAATGCTTAGGGATTTTTTTTGTTTGGTCATACCTAGAACTCTTAACATAGCACTTGGAAAGGTGAGAAGGAACAAACAAGCAAATTAGCAGAAATAAAACTCAGTAGATATTTGCATGAATCTCTATCTTCTAAGGAGACAAGTGGACAAGTGTCTGAAATAGTTACATTAATGGAACTTCAATTAGAGCACTGTGAAAATTCGCACTCACTCATCAATTCAGATTGAATGTTGGTATTTTAATCACTAGATGTTCAAGACAGGAAGAGGCAGGCCTTGCCCAACTTCCACTTTTTAGTTACAATCTTGAAACTAACGCTATAAGTGCTTGAGAACATTTTGTCAGAATCACATGCCATTCAAGTTCAATTACAGTTATAATAGTTCAACCAAAGCTCTAAATAGTTGTTTCTTGCTTTTTTTCTTTTTTTTTTTTTCTTTTTTTTTTTTTTATCTCCAGTAACTCTTTTTTTTTTTTTTTTTTTAATAGTAGTTCTTTGTGCATATTTTCTTGCCCCCTAACACAGCCAGTTTTAAATCAACAGAAATTCCTTAGAATTCTACTACTGTCATTATTGCTACAAAGTGAATTGCAGTGTGACTAGCTCTTTGCTGGTAAAGAGCATGACACATAGAATTCAGAGCTAGCCCTCCTGCTAGAAGTAATCAGAGTCACTGAACCATAGAATGGCTTAGGTTGAAAGAGACCTTAAAGACCATTCAGTTCCACCACCTTGCCACGGGTAGGGCTTCCACACAGTGGATCAGGTTGCCCAAGGCCACATCCAACCTGACCTTGAATGCCCCCAGGTATGGGGAAACCACAGCTTCCCTGCGCAGTCTCTGCCTCACTGCCCACTGTATGAAAATTTTCCACTTAACATTTAAACTAAGTCTCCCATTTTTAGTTTAAAAATATTCTTCCTTTTGTCCTACCATTATCTTCACATGTAAACAGTTGATATCCCTCCAAAACTCCCTTCAAGCTCTGGAAGGCCCCAGAGATGTTTCCCCAGACCTTCTCTTCTCCAGACTGAACAATCCCAGCTACTTGAACATTTTCTTCATAGGAGAGATTCTCTTGCTCTCTGACCATCTTTCTGGCCTCCTCTGGACCTGCTCCAACTGCTCTATGTCTTTCTTGTGCTGAGAGTCCCAGACTTGGCTGCAGCATTGCAGCTAGGGCCTCACAAGCATAGGTAGAGGGGAAAAATCACCTCCCTCTCCCTGCTGGCCACCCCTATTTTTATGCAGCCCAGGATACAGATGGCCTTTCAGGCTGCAGGTACATGCTGTTGGCTTGCCTCAAGCTTCTCATCCACCAGGACCCCCAAGTCCTTCTCCACAGGGCTGCTCTCAGCTAGTTCTTCTCTCAGACTGTACACACACTTGCTATTGCCTTGGCCAAAGTGCAACACTTTGCACTTGGCCTTGTTGAACCCTGGTAGGTTCATGTAGGTCCATTTCTCAAGCTTTTCAAGGTCACTCTGGATGGCATCCCTTCCTTCCGTTTTATCAACGGCACTACTGAGCCTGATGTCATCAAACTTGCTGAGGATGTACTTAATCCCACTTCCATCTTTTCACCATATTCTACAGACCTAAGCAGACATAATCAAGGAAACCCAGCAAATGAAACTGCATCAATACACGATTTTCTGAACCATCATAGCAATTCATATTGTTGCTCTCCTGCAACTTCACTGATATGAGCACTACTCATAGAAAACAGTTGTCAGCTGTGACAGACAGAACTGTTAGTCTTTGAAAGACATTTAGAACATGGCAGGCCATCCTTACTCCTTTATGTGAAAGACAATAGGTTAAATCCTAATAAATAAATGAAATTTTAAAAAACTATTCCTCTGTCCTGGAACACTGAACTGGAAAATGAAATTGCTATGCAAGCAAGCAACAATATATTTCTGTTATGTAATTAAAATGTCCATAAAGAGATGTGCAAAAGAAATATTACAATAAATTGTGAACTTCGGAATTTGAATTACTAAAAAAGGATTTAAGTTTGTCATAGCTAGTTCCAGGATTGACTGTAGTGCACTAATATGACTTGACTGTGAAGGGCAAAACAGAAACCAAAAGATCATCAGATGCTACATTTCTCATAGCAGGAAATCTACTACCAGATTTTTTGGGGGGATAACTGGAAAGATTAACGTCATCAGACAAGGTGTAATGAAACTATCTTAAACAAATGTAAACTCCCAACTATTTGTGTTCAAGAAAGCATCTGGAAATATTAAAGAGAAAGGATACTAAGAAAAATTAGTCTGTGGGATTGTGGTGTTTTAGAAGGCAACAATACAATTTAAGCAGGTTGCTCTGAAAGTAACATTTCCTATTTATTACCCTGGAAACTACAACAGATACAAAGAGAGCAATGACACTATTTGATACAGTAAATTCTCAGCTACAAAATGCTGTTTTTCCAGAGTCACTACCGTTAGCTATGCATTTTTACCAACGATGAACAAGAACTTGCATGCTACGCTTGTACAAATCTGCATCTGTACAGGTGACCCAGTGTCACCATATGTATCACCTACTGCCTCACTGTGCTCACATCTACTGTTTGGTCTCCATAAACATTCAGTTAACATTAATGAATGCCAGTGGATGCCACTTTTTTCAGATGGAGGAATTCAATGACATACCTTAGTTTCACACTCACTTCCTGGTCTAGTATTATATATGAAGGCTGGTGATCCTGCTTGCAACGGGGAGGTTGGAGCTTGATGATCCTTGAGGTCCCTTCCAACCCAAGTCATTCTATTCTATGGTTCACTGCCAGATCCCATTTTGTCAGACTGCCCCTCTACTGCCATCTCTCACATGGCAGAATGTAAGAGAATACTGACAAGAAGGTTCAGCATCTACTGTCATGCCACCAACATCTGCTTCCGAGTTCGTGGGCCAGTATAATAAAATAGGAAGCATTACTTTCAGAGAAGCCGTTATACAAGTTAATATCTCAAAAATCATAGATATGGAGGGGAATAAAGACCTTAAAAATCAAGAGTGTGATTTGACAACAAGAATAAGCCTGTGTCAAGAGCAAGAGATACCAGCAAGCCCCTGTCTGATTGACAGCTGCTAAATCAAAGACTTAACAGGTAGCTCAAAGCTGGTTAGTATATTAATGCTTAGCCCAGCAGTGGTTTTTTTTAAGTATCTACTGCACGTGCTAACGAACAGAGCTGCGACTTACTTTTGAACTCTTCTTGTCTACTTGTAAAGTCTCTGCATACCAGCAAAGAATCTCACAGGGAGGTTTAAAACAATAAATCAGACAGGAATATATGCAGTGTCTCCCACTACCCTGGCTAAATTGAACTGTTTGGACTAACTTCTGCTGGGGAACTCATTTAAAAGAAAAATGCATCATTAACCTTGGAGAAAAGGGAGTAAGCAGCATAAAGGATAGACAAAAGCTTTGTTTTTGTTCAGGGTAAAAGCTAATACACAGATTTAAATTCAGTACTGCCCAGATTAGAACAGGATTATATTTTTTTTTTTCAGCACAAAGTAATTAGCAAACAATTGCTAAGTTTATTCTCCACAATGCCACTGATACAGTCAAAATGAAGGCAGATAGTTTCTGTATTTGTCACATGCGAAACTCTTGGTCACTCTAATAGCAAGTAAGCAAGAAATGCCAGGGCTGAATTTAACCCTTTTAAAGTTTAAATTAATACTGAGAAGTACCTTTGAGTCTTAAGACATGAATTAGAACTCATTCTCTACCTCTGCCAGGAAGCTGCCAAAATGGTGAATTACCTGTTCCTGTTGTTGACCAGTAATCTGACCGAAGACCTGCTGCACAGAAGAAAGGTCAGTTGGGGAGGTTTATTCACATAAAGCTTGATCTGTCCTTTGTTCACAGAGCTAAAAATCTTAACCTACATTGGAACTAATTACATTAAACAGGGTCTTGAATCCTTCCCTGCTAATTTCTTCCCTAAACAGGAATGGCATAGCGTATACAAGTTGCTTAATGAATAGGCAGCTTTATAATATATATGTATACTGTTTATTTAACTCTAATACAGCTGTGAAAAAAAAGTCTCCTTTTCAGTGGAGTGGGTTGAAGTTTGATCCTTGCATAAAAAGAGACCCATCACCTTTTGACACCTTCCAAGTCATAGCCTAAGCCAAACCTAAGTTGGCTGCAAGGTGTCAGGCTTAGCTCCAGAATTAGAAGATAAACACTCCAAGTACAGAAAGGAGTGCTTTTGTACCTTAATTTGACTTCCAATCTTTTCTTTTCTACACCACCAGCCTCTCTCCCCCCATGAGAAGCACAGGATAGAAATGTTGGTATATTTATAGAACCTGTAACTCCAAGGATTAAAAAAAAAAAAAGTGCCCCTTCAAGGACAGGGACATGTACCAATACTAACCACTTAGTACAATGGAGTCCATGTCAACTGCAAGGTCCTGAAGAGTTCCCACTGAGGTCCGGTTAACGATGCTGGTCTGAATAGAATCCTTTAAAATGGCAGCCACACAGTCCTCACACAGTGCTTGGCCTTTCGCCTGCGGTACCACAAATACGATCCAGAAGTGAATAAGAAGGCCTCCATTATTGTTGTTACTGAAATAAGAAGGTCCTACAGATTATTACCACATTAAAAGTTTCCTGAAGGCTAGACTCTTAACACAAGCTTCTTTTGAACGACATGGCTTATTTACAAATTGTCTTGTTGGTTTGATACAATGAATGTTTTCTTTTCTGAAGAAAGGAGCCCCAAAATTCACATCTTATGCCCAGTTGAGGATCTTCACTAGGATGATTTTCTGGCTTTCGTGGTTTGCCAAAAACGTCATAACTACTGGAGTAAGAGCTGGATTACCTCCTAAAAATTGTTACAGAAATGGTACAGTTGCCATCTCCAGAAATGCAGAACTCTGCATCTCACTGCATCTCGTGTACCGAGTACTGTAGTGAGCGAGAACCAATTTCTACACTACTTAGGTAATACTTTAGATTCTAAATACGGCCACATCAATCTTTGCCTATTAGACGAGAAGAAAATTCCTTAAATCAAACCATACGCCAGAAACTCCTGTTCCAAAACTGTTCTTAGTTCAAGAGGATTGAGATACTTAATCCATTCACATCAACTGCACTTTTAGTACTAAAGTAAACATACTTTATCACAGCAAAGAGGTTTTCCTTTCTCCCATGCAAAGGCATCGGTCAGTACAAAATAATTTAATATCAATAGCACCTATAAAATACATCAAACTCTGCAATGTAAATAATATTGAGTTTCCTTGTAGCAGCACGTTAGAGTGGCTAAACATGAGGGCACTGATGACTTATCAGCCAAAGCATCACCATACTTCTTCAGGGACATTATTTCTGTGTAACTTAATTAACCTTAAGTTTCCATTTACCCTGCAGAAAACAAACTGTTGAAGTGACTTTAGTTTGCCCTCACTTGCATGAAAGCAACTGGGCAGGTTATACTTATATTTTGCTAGCACTACAAGTGATTACCAGAATGATTAAATTATAGCAACCAAAAACAGGCTTCTCTTCTAGGCTCATTGTATCATGTATTATTCAGCAAAAATACGAATGCATTAACCACAGTTTTACCTGACTTCTGTAACAGTGGACTGCTTATAAAATTTGGAGAAAGAGGAGGTCGTGTAAACCAAGTTCATCTGAAAGAGAAAGTATTAAGCTGATAAAGACATAGCATTTCAAAAAAAATCAGACATATCTAGAGATATTCTAGGTCTAGATTTTCCCAGGAATATCCTCTTTTTCACCAAGAATAAAAAAATCAGCACACATATCCAGACATACAGCAATAGACATTGACAGATTGGCTCTGCAATGCACCAATACTAAGTCCAGTATTAACAGGAACATCATATCTTCTGTACAAGGCCAGCTGATGTGTACAGCAAACACTTTTCCCAAACAAAAAGAGTTTTGAAAAGGGTGCACATTCTTTGCTCCAAAAGTTCCAAACACAAAGTCCTTATCTCTCCAAAATGCAAAACCTTTACTGCCAATCTTCAGGAAAACAATAAGGAAAAAAAAACTTAAAAAACTTTCAGGAAAACACTCATAACATGCATGTTACCACTAAGATGCAGTGAACAGTATACAATATATATATTTATTTTTACAGAATTACGAAAAGATTGAGGTTTGAAGCCTCTGAAAATCATCTAGTCCAACCTCCTTAAAGCAGCATCAACAACTGCTCAGGGCCACAACCAGTTGTTTTTATATCTCCAAGAATAGAGACTCCACAATCTCTCTGGACCACCTGAACACCTTCACCAGAAAACAGTGTTTTTTGTTTGGTTGTTCTGTTCCTTATCCCAATATTAATGGGGAATTTTCTCTATTAGCAGCTTAGCATTAACGTATTTCTTTCCAATATACAGTACAATATACATGGAGAAGGAAGAACTGCCATTTCATGCTGTGGGACTGCTTTTGGGGAAAGTATGCTCCCAGTTCTACCCAGTTCTTCTTCAGCTAAGAGTGTGATGATACCACGTTACTTCATTCCTCTTGTTGAAGGAGGCACACTGCTAATACCACCAGGTGGCACATACCTCAAGCTATTCAGACCCTATGCTGCAGCTTAATCGTTAACATTAATATCCAAGGGACTAATATGGTGGTTTGTTTGTTTTTGTTTTTTTTTTTTTTTTGAGGCAAAGCCTGTGAAAGTCATATTACTGTTATCTCCTAACTTTTGGTGTTTGACACAAGATGACTGAACAATTCTTTTAAGGGCCTAATTAAAATAGGGGGAGCTCAATCTTTCTCCAGATTAGGTTGCAAGGGATTTTGTTCACTGCTGTGACTATCAAAGGGGAAACGATCCTATCTTGAGAGGTTCTTTAGCTGCTGTTCTGGGGATCTCAGACCCATGAATCATAAACAAAGTGACAAATAGCAAACACAAAGCTCACAAACTCAAATCCCCTGCATCCCTACCGGCCTTTTTAGCCACTAGTCAGGTAACAAGATGCACTGTATCAGTAGTGCAAAATTCTATCAGTGAGTTCAAGCAAAGTTTAGAGACAAGAAATAATTTCCAAGTTATGTTCAAGTACAAGGTGGTGACACTGCCAGTTCACCCACTTATCTGTCACCTCCCCCTGCTGAAATAGCAGCAAGATAAGCCAGGACAAGAGCAAGACGTAGGGCCCAAAGAAGGTTGGAGCTGCTCCCTTGTGGGTGGGAAAAGGCAATACCTGCACAGCTCCATCTCTGCCCTGAAAGCACTTCAACAGACATCGACATGCACGATAAGAAAACTAACTTCCTTTCAAGCCTTTCATGACAGCTTCTAGGGGGAAAAACGTCATCCCTCTTATCAAAGATAGAACAGGAAAACATGACCATGAGTTCATATTATAAGACAGCAAAAACTTAGCAATTACTCAGAAATCTCATTTGCATTGACTTTTTTGTTTACTTGTTTTAGGTTTTTTTTTTTTTTTTTTTTTTTTTTTTTAAATAAGTGCTTTAATGCTTTTGTGGACAGTGCTGCATTACTAGACTGTAATATTTTTTTCCTGTCCACACTACATGTCTTTAAAGGTAAATTTGCTTGTAATTAAGATGCACACCTCCCCTTTCCAGCTGTAAAGCAGTTCTAACTGTATACCTACAACACTGAGCACTCCTGCTGTGACTGATCGAGGCATTTGGGAAGAATAATGCTCTTTAAATATCTGTTATCAGAAAGAAATTTAAATGTAAACGTGTATGAAAGTTCTAGTATAATTGTAGATGCTCTAAGGCAGAAGACTGGCAGCAGATTCCAATTTGAATGCAAAAGACCTCATCAATGTCTTGAAAGTGGCAATTAAGTTTTGAAGGGTTTATGCAGAGTTCTGTTCACAGACTCAGATTTGTGGGGGACAATATGCAAAATTTTTAGTAAATGTAAATGTCAAACAGACCTCTCCGAAGTTTGACAATAACAAGCTATAAGCAGCTAGTTCCTTTCTGCCTCCAGACAGCCACCTTTGCAGTCTTCTGAGGGAGGAAAAAAAACCCAAAGAAGCAGAATACCACACCAGACTGAATGGCACCTGAAATTTCCATCTCCTGTTTACAGCTCTAGTTCCTGCTACTTGTTGCTAGCCAAACAGCCCACTCATCTTACCACACGCTGGACGTTCTGTGCCACAGAGAGAAATTCTTTTGACTCCTTCTGCCTATATTCAGGGAGAAACTCTATGTTGGCAACACGGAACAACCCAACAAAGTACAACGCATCTTTGTTTTCTGCCTGAACTGCAAGAAAGAAAGAAAACAAACTAGTTATTCTTTAAATAACGCATAAATGCTAAACTAAGTCCACCCATTCAGGCCTAAGGTAGAGAGATCTACCAAATCAACACTACATTTTCATAGCCAGTTGATTTAGATGACTGCTATGATATGAAGGTTAATTAAGAACCTGCTTTGTGCACACAATATGAGATATAGTGGTATGAATGAACAAGCATAGTAAAGGCAATGTCAACATCCATATCCTGGAGTGCCCCTAAGGAACCTTAGGCAGTACTAGTGCCAAGGCTTTCAATGTCCACATCAAGCACAAAGGCAGCACTCCACAGGAACTATCATTTCTTTTCTTGTCCTGTCCAGTGTTTTTACAGATCATGAAAAAAGTATTTCCTTTGTATATTTTCCTCCTTCTTTAAACCTATTCCGCATAAGGAACAAAAAATTTACCTGGCCTCCAGCAGGCCTAGAAACACAGTGGAAGTCACAATTCATGAGGAATCAAATTATCATAACTATATGCACAATTAGCTAGCACACAAGAAATGCTTTATATAGCCCTTGATAAAAGACAAAGCACAATACCTAAACCAATAGCTGTGAATTTACAAACATAACAGCAGGCAATCATATGAAGTTCTAACAAAGGTATTCAAAATTCTTCCATATCCCATTTAAATAAGATTCATGAGGGTTGATTTGTTTGTTCTGTTCTTTAAGAAAGAGCCTTCAAGACAAGGGAGATCCTACAAACACTGAAAGTGTTATTAGTGACTTTTGAAAGAAGACTGAGCTTTCTGCAACTCACCAATGAACAACCACAGTAAAGTCCAGGTTACAACTCCTAAAACAAATAGTATGAGGGTAAAAAGAATTATTTGGTTTTGAAAATTCCACAGCATCTTTTCTTTTTTCTTCAGCTTGCCATGTTTTTTCCTCGCCAGAATCCTCTTTACCAACTTGTCTTCCACAGATACCATTTGGACTGAGATGTTGGCTACCTAAAATAAGGTGAGAGACAACAAGCAAATGTAAAAGCATTTGATTGATAAAAACCTAGAACAGAAGCTCACATACAGTCATCTGTGTATAATCAATGAATATTAAGATGTCATAATTACAAAACAAACAAGAGAGTTTGGCAAAGCAGATTACGATAACAAAAAGAGAATAGATAGAAAGCTTACCCCTATCCTAGCCTCACTTACAAAACTCCAGCAGATTGGATCTCCAGAAGAGATCCTTCCCCACTGGTAGCCAGCTCTTAAATAGGTCCAGGAGGGGTGCAGCCAGCCTCCACCCCTTCCGGCAGCACAGGAGAATTGCCTTCACCTGTGCTCCTCTGGCTGACTCATGGCTCAGCTCAGGTGATCAATCAGAGGCTCAGGCCGTGATTCAGCAGTTCCCATACAATCTGTTACTGCACATACAAAACCATTATTAATGCAGCAGCAGTTTAAATTGCAGTCAGGAAGCAAGGTATTTTTTTTTCTAGACAATTGCAGAGGGAATGTAAAAACACAATGGTCCCTAGGATAACAGCTTACTATGCAATAGGAATCCAGAATTAACCATCTGAACAAACGTTTATACCTTGTGCATCTCCTGTTAGTGTAAATTAGCCCTCTTTTTTTCTAAAAAGCTGGCAAACGAATTACCTTTTACTGGTTTAAACTGCAGTGTATACACAGACAAGTACTGCAGAACAGCAGCTTTCCACTGGCAACTTGCTGACATAACTTAGCAAGTGGTCTTACTGCCCAAACATTCACTAGGGTGACGCAAATTTGGTGCAAAATCAGGCACACATTTAGTCATTCATTCCTCCCTTTGCATGAAATAGAAGGGAATAGTTACTAAGGTGTTCATATAGTCTGTCCTTTTCCCAGTACTATCTTGTCATTTCCCTGCTAAGGAACCAGGAGACAGATGCATGCACACTTATCCTTGCTTCCTCCCAAGCCTATGGTCAAAGCATTACTGCTCTTCCAAAAATAAAGCACACTTTCTTCTCAGACCACAGCTATTCCTATAGTAGCTTCCTTTCAGGATGCAAAATCATGGGTTTGGGCAGCTTCTTCCTGCATATCCAGCTTCCTTTAAGAAATTCTCCCCAGTGAACAGGAGGAAACAACAGAATTCTTGTTGGGATAGAACCTAAACAAGGTTATTATCTGGATCTGCAGCCCCGTAAAAGATTTTTTTTTTAACTACAGTTCCAGTTGTCCCAAACTATTCAGAATATCTCTTGACTGTCTTAACTCAGTTTGAAAGACTAGTATGTGACCATACCTGCATTTACTGGAGCAGTTTGTATTCCCTACATTATTCATCGTTTTGTCTGTTCTTCAGATGAAAATGCCTGAGGGAGTGCTTGGTACAAATGGATTCTCCATGCAAAAAAATCAATGCATGTAAGCCTACAAATACTGTCTATCAATAGGTACATGCACAGCAAGAGCTGTCAGGGAAAATCTGTGGGATTTCATAAAATTCCTGCCAGGAGAGCTCTTGCGAATATTTCCTAACAACATCAGGTGAAGGTTCAACTATCTTTCCATGTTGACTCATTGTCTTACCCACACAGAGATTAGCTGGCAAGTTCCTGGGCCATTTGAGACCTTAAAAACTGAGTGCGTTGGGTATGAATATAAATAGGGCCACAATACCTAGCTAAATCTAGAATTTTAACTACAGAAAAACTTACGTTTGCTTTTTAAATCACAACTATAAGTTACATAATATTGCCACATAATAGAGAAGATTCAAGAAACATCTCAAGAATATGTTGTGCTTGTGAGAGGGAGGCACTCACAAGGATGCCTTGGAAAGCTGTGGGATCTCCTTGAGAGAGGCGTTAACAAACTCCTGTCAAAAGTTAGCAGCAAGAGCTTTTTGTGGGAAGACTTGTATGAAGTGCACCACAGATTGTGGATCAAAAGACCTGGTTCAAGATTTCATGTGTACAGAGATGAACTTCAGCACTGCAAATATAAGGAAAAAGCTCATTTTTGGATGTGGTCTTTCAGAACAGCTGAATTTTCATGACCATTTTCAAAGTGCATTTCCCTCACTCTTCAGCCAATTTTATGCTATGCGTAGGCTGGAATGCACTCAGAGTTGCACCATCTCCCAGCTATTCAAATCAGGAATGTGTCTTGACGTGACCCAGTGACAACCATCGCATTGTTTGCTCAGGTGCAGATAGACTACCTCTGCTGAGGTACAGACTACTCTAGTACAATAGGAGAGCTCACAGCAGAACAGATACATATATATCAGCACAGGCTGATAAATCTTGTGCAAATTGAGCTGTTCCCAGTGCTGAATAGGCCTCCATAGCCTCTGCAGGGTTATAAGGAGTAGGCAGTGAGGAGACAGACTGCAACAAGCTTCTAGGCTACTTGCCATCATTTAATTCTTCAGAGGCCTCTCAAAAGGTGCAGTACAAGAATATGTGGACTATCGTAGAATAAAAGATGTAGGCACGAGGCTCATTCTTCAACACTACCAATTGTATTTCACTGGAGAAGGCATCTATCCAACAACTGCACTCCAAATTATCAACATGGGTTGCTACATTAATTCAGTGACTACAAAAACTGTATGTCTTTGGAGCCTGACATCCAGGAAGTGCTAGGCATAAATACTAGCCATTTGCAAAAGCCATTTGTGATATAATCTGAAATAAGTTTTTGTTTCCTTCTGCCTAATGCTATCAGAGCCACATCTGAAGTACTGCTCCCATCAGTACAAAAGAGATGTTAATAAACTAGAAGGGTCTTTAGCTTGTACCATGAAAATCTGAGAGCTGTAAGTAAAATCAGTGTAAGTAATGCTAGTCATATATTTCCCTGTCTTAAGTGTCTTACAGAGAACACACAGCCACACTTCTTTCTGTGATGCACAATGAAGAGACAGCTGCAGCAGTCACCTATGGAAGCAGGGGAAATTCCATCTGGATACACCAAAAATAAAGCATTTCTCCTTAAAGGCTGCACATCCCTAGAGTTCATAGAATCATAGAATCATAGAATCACCAAGGTTGGAAAAGACCTAAAAGATCACCCAGTCCAACCGTTCACCTATTCCCAACAGCTCCTACTAAACCATGTCCCTCAACACAACATCCAGTCTTTCCTTGAACACCCCCAGGCTCGGTGACTCCACCACCTCCCTGGGCAGTCCATTCCAGTGCCTGACCACCCTTTCTGAAAAGTAATACTTCCTCATGTCCAGCCTGAATCTCCCCTGCCGTAGCTTGAAGCCATTCCCCCTGGTCCTATCACTAATGACACGAGAGAAGAGGCCGACCTCCAGCTCTCTACAACCTCCCTTCAGGAAGTTATAGAGAGCAATGAGGTCTCCCCTGAGCCTCCTCTTCTCCAGGCTGAACATTCCCAGCTCCTTCAGCCTCTCCTCATATGGCCTGTGTTCCAGACCCCTCACCAGCTTTGTTGCCCTCCTTTGAACACGTTCCAGGGCCTCAATATCTTTCTTGCAGTGAGGGGCCCAAAACTGGACACAGTACTCGAGGTGCGGCCTCACCAGTGCTGAATACAGGGGAACAATCACCTCTCTGCTCCTGCTTGCAACACAGTTTCTGATGCAAGCCAGGATGCCATTGGCCTTCTTGGCCACCTGGGCACACTGTCGGCTCATGTTCAGCCGAGCATCAATCAATACCCCCAGGTCCATTTCCTCTACGCAGTCCTCCAGCCACACCGCCCCAAGCCTGTAGCGTCGCCTGGGGTTGTTGTGGCCGAAGTGCAGGACCCGGCATTTGGCCTTGTTGAAACTCATCCCATTGGCTTCAGCCCAGCTCTCCAGCCTGTCCAGATCCCTCTGTAGGGCCTCGCTACCCCCAGGCAGATCCACACTTCCAGCCAATTTGGTGTCATCTGCGAATTTACTGAGGGTGCACTCGATGCCCTCATCGAGGTCATCAATAAAGATATTGAAGAGGACAGGCCCCAGCACCGACCCCTGGGGAACACCACTCACAACCGGTCGCCAGCTGGATTTGACTCCATTTACCACCACTCTCTGTGCCCGGCCCTCCAGCCAGCTCCTTACCCAGCCAAGAGTGTACCCATCCAAGCCTCTGGCTGCCAGCTTCTGCAGGAGAATGCTGTGGGAGACAGTGTCAAAGGCTTTGCTGAAGTCTAGGTAGACCACATCAACAGCCTTTCCCTCATCCACCAGATGGGTCACTAGATCATAGAAGGAGATCTCAGGTTGGTCAAACAGGACCTGCCCTTCATGAACCCATGCTGGCTAGGCCTGATCCCCCGGTCACCCTGCACATGCCGCATGATCTCCCTCAAGACAATCTGCTCCATAACCTTCCCTGGCACCGAGGTCAGGCTAACAGGCCTGTAGTTCCCCGGATCCTCCTTACGACCTTTCTTGTAAATGGGAGTCACATTGGCAAGCCTCCAGTCATCTGGGACCTCACCAGTCAACAAGGAGCATTGACAGATGATGGAAAGCGGCTCGGCTATCACCTCCGCCAGTTCCCTCAGCACTCTCGGGTGGATCTCATCTGGCCCCATCGACTTGTGGCAGTCCAGTTGGAGCAGTAGGTCTCTGACTGTTTCCTCCAGAATCACAGGGGGGGGAGTTATTCCAAACTCAGTGGGACTGGGCCCCAGGAAATCTGTTCTGCTTTGCTCTGTTTGAAAATAGCATTTGGTAGGTCACCTTCAGAAATTCTCACCATCCTACACTTGTCTGATTCTCTGATATTATGTCCTAGCAATGCTTTAGATGAGAGAACTCTGTATACCCAAACAGACAGAAGCAAAGACTCATCATGACAAAAGTCCTGCCAGGCCCACAGTCAAACACAACAGCTAGCCACCTTTGATTGCAGAGCTGAGAATGTACACAAGGGAGTTAAAGAAATGACTAAGTTTAATATTGGAATAATTAGACCCAGTAGTATACTTTACAGTTTCCTCAAACAAAATGTGAAAAAACTTAACTGAACGAGTCCTGGCCTATATCTTCTGTTTAGTATAATACCAGTACTTATTTTCCATCTTCTCAAAAAGGACAAATTTGCCTGTTGTATTTGTAAGGCCTTATTGAGCACAATTTAATGTAAGATAAACACAATTTGCCTGGTTTTTTTTGTTTTAAGCTTTGTTCTGTCCTGTAAAGTTCAGTTACACTCTCAGATGTTCACTAGGACAACTTAACACAGGTCAACAATGTTTAAGATCTGAAATTTGAGTCATTTTATAGATCAGTGAGTACACTTGCTGCTTTTATCATGTTTCCCCCCAAGAAAAAATTATACTAAAATCTTGACATTTCATTCTTGTTCATATCTGTCGATCTAACCAGGCAGATTTATTCTTAAAAAACAGAAACAGAAATCCCTGTCAAGGATCAACAGAAATTACATGGTGTTGATGTCACTGGAATATGAGTATACACTGGGAACAGTTTGTATCTTCATCTACTGTAATAGTAACCTTATTTTTTAAAAGATGCACTTCATGTATCAAGGCTTTTACAGCAGAGTTTACTGTTTCAGAATTCAGAGCAGTATTGAACACTGTGCTCTACATTTTAAATATTTCCCTAGGTTAAATTAGTTTATCATAAACAGTTTGTAAGAAGGAAGATAGTAGCAAAGTTAAGCTGTTACCTTCCCTGAACAGGGATCACAATTATTAATTCATCTCTCTGCTGCTGCAGCTTACTTTCCGAATTCTGGAAGTGTTTTCCAGCTAAAATTGCAATTTGACTATCACTGAATTATTTATTAACTTCTTTGTCATGAGTAATCCTCTTCTGTGTCACCTCAGGGGACAAAACACAAAACAAAACAAAACACAAACACTTCACTTAATCTAATGCTTATTTTCTTGTCTAGAAATAGATTCATTTTTGGAAAAACATGCTGCCATGTTACTATTATAAGCTATTCACGTTGTTACTTTAACAATCCCATTATTTCAGCTGCCTGAAAGTATATGTTATTAACAATTGGAAGATAATACAAACATACATGGACTTTTAGAGATTAAGCTATAAAATGTAAAGGTGGAGGAAATCTTGGAATGTCAAGGTTAGTACTTGAGAATTAGATCATAACAGATCTAATAGATGCCAAGAAGTATATGAAATAAAGAATGCTTAAGACAACCTACTTACACTTAGGTCATCTTCAGGCTTAGCTGCTGGGTGATCAATTCTTTCATCCATTCCAACAAAATTAGTTTTATTGCTTGTCTCAGCTCAGAAAGCCTTGCACTTTTTCCCCAGGCTCTGCTTCTCCTTCTGAAGCTGAGGACAGCTGACAGCAACGACCAGGACCAAAAGAGGCATCGATTTACTTTGATGAGTTTCCAGTTGTAATCTCATCTGCCCTGTTGCTCATTTGTGAATATTAGAAGGATGCTATCAAGTAACTTTAGACATCAGTCTGAATATAACAGGCTTTTCATAGTCTTTTTTTTTTTTTTTTTAAGCTGAAATAGACTTCAGCTTGTTAACACATCAAATCAGAGTGCTGAAATCTACACATCATTAGAATCTAACAAAATCAGTTGCCATGAACAATAAAAACCATACCAAATAAAATGCAAGTGAAAGAAAAATTACACAAGTACAAAGAAGGGGGAAAGAAAAGTAAGCACCTTGAGTAAATAGGGCTTCAAGTAGCAAATGACCATTACAAACAAAAATAACATTCTGACTCAGAATTTCATAAGGTACCTTTTGAAGACTCAAAATTAGTTACTTTATTGTAATCTAGAAATAAGCATATTTTATATTGTTAAAATAGATAGTTTCAAACTGAGACTCCTTTTTTGTAATGAGAGGCATGAAGTCACTTGTACCATAATAGTAGCATCCTATTTTCTTCAGTAATTAAATATTTATAGAGGATGTAAAACAGTACTTTCTTCAATGAATACTAACTATAGAGCTGTCTGTGCTTTTAAGTGATTAACAGTTTTAATGCCTTCCTTGGGTCAAGTTCAGAAATGGCATTGGAGAAAGGGCAACTTTATTTTATTTTTTAAGAAGTACACATTCTCTGAATTTATCACTGAATATATCAAGCCTACACTAAAAATCATGAAAACATTAGCAACATAATAATGGAGAGATATAGGATAGATGGAAAAGATGCAGCCAGACCTCATAACAATCTCCAAGGAAAATCTATGCTCCATCGCTGTAACTAGCAATAGAATTCTTCAAATATGGGTCTATGGGTCAAGAAATCCTACAATTACATGAAGTGTTTGTAAATTAAGATATTTTGTCTATAGGTTAGTCCTGGCTTATGCCATGAAGCACAGTGTCAGTGTCTTCAATATCTATTTTTTGTTATTTCTGCCAGAACTGCAGTGTATTTTATCCACATAATGTCACACCACAAGCTCCGGGCCTCATTAACACTTCAGTAACATAGACAAATATATATATATATGTGCACATACATGTACATATATACACATTACTATATATAATTGTTTGCTCCCATCTCCCATTTATTTTTTAATTACTTAAATTATACTTAATTTTGCCAGAACTAGAGTAGGATATGTAGATACTTCATATTGAAAGGACGTTCAGAGATCATTGAGTCCAACTTCCTGACCACATCAAAGTTAGCCAAAACTTAAAGCACCTTAAACAAGTGCGTCGTCCAAACATCTCCTGAGCACTGACAGGCATGAGACACCAGGCATTTTAGGAAACCTGTTCCAGTGTTTGGCAACCTTCACGGTAAAGAGACATTTCCCAACTGACCCTCCCCTGGCTCAGCTCTGTGCCATTTCCACCCTGCCATCAGTCATCAGTTCCCAGGAGCAGAGCTTGGCACCTACTTCTGTGTCCCTCCTCAGGGCATTACAGAGAGCAGTGAGGTTGCTTCTCGGCCTCTTCTCCAGATGGAGCAGCCTGAGTGTCCTCAGCACATTCTCACAGGACATACCTTCCAGTCAGTCCTGTTACCAGCTTGGTTGCCCTTTTCTGGATTTTTTCAAAGACCTTAGCATCCTTTTTAAATTATGGAAACCAGAAAAGCATACAATATTCAAGGTGAGGCTGCACCAACACTAAATATAATGGGAGGATCACCTCTTTCATCTGCAGGCTATGCTGTGTTTAATGCATACTAAAATGCTGTTTGCCCTTTTGGCTACCAGGGCACACTGCTGGCTCCTGTTGAGTCTGCTGTCCCAGACTCCTTTCTGTTGAGCTTCTCTCCCACCACTCATCTCCCAGTCTGTGCCTGCATCCAGGATTGCTCTGTTCCAGGTGCAGCACCTGGCATTTACCCTTGATGAACTTCATGCTGTTGCTAACTGCCCAGTGCTCCAATTTATCAGGACCCCTTGGCAAAGCCTCTTGTCCTTCCAAGGAGTTAACAGCACCTCTTAGTTTAGTATCATCAGCCAGCATCCTGAGGATGCACTCCAATCCTGCACTCGGATCACTGCTGAAGACACTGAACAGAACAGGCCTTAGAATTAAAGTCTAGTGAACACTGCTAGTGAGTGACCACCAGCCAGAGGTAACCCTGTTTACTACAACGCTACAACCATCCAGCCAGTTCATCACACTGCCTAAAGTGAACCTTTTGATCTCACAGTTGGACAGTTTGTCCATGAAAGATGTCACAAAGGGCTGTAACAAAGATCTTGGTGATATCCAGCAAGATTTCATCAGCTGCCTTCTCTTCTTTCATCACAAGGTCACTTGCTTCTCGGTTGGAGGTCAAATCACTAAAGCAAGACTCTCCGTTCATGAACTCATGTCAACTATGCCTGATAACAGCTTTGTTCTTTAAATATCCTTTCTGCATCCCCCAGGACAGTCTTTTCCATAACTTTTCCAGGGACTGATATTAAACTAGTAATTCTGTAGTTCCCTAGGTCTTCTCTCATGCTCTTTTTTGTAGATTGATATAACACTGGTTAGATTCCAGTTAGCAGGAACCTCCTAAGATTCCTATGAACTTACTTAAATCATTAACAGGAGTCCAGCTGTAACATCTGCTAACTCTTTCAGTTCCCTAGGATTAATCACGTCTGGCCCTGTGGACTTAAAAATGTTGAGCTGATGTAACTGGTCCCTCACAATTTCAGTGATCATAGATGGGAAGTCCGTGTTCCCTCAGTTGCAGTTCTCCAACTCTGTGATCAGGGTAGCCCAATATCTGTCACCATTGTTAAATACTGAGGCAAAAAGGCATGAAGTGCCTATGCCTTTTCCTTCTCCTTATTTATTAAGTGACCATCTACTCTCGATATCAGATTAATGTTTTTCTTTGATCTTTTCTTGCTGTAGATACTACTTGAAAAAGCCATTTTTTTTGTCTGACACCACAGGGGTCTTTGTCAACTCAAGTTGGGCTTTGGCTTTTCCCATTTTCTCCCTGCAGATACGAACTGCAGCTTTGTGTTTTCCCTGTTAAGCAACATCCTGTGAACATTCCTCCCAGAGGTCATATATTTTCTTTTTCTGCCCTTCTTCCAGGCAGAGTTTCCTATTGAGCCAAGACAGTCTCCTGCCCTGCTTGCTTGACTTGAGGAATCATTGCATAGTATGCAGCTCTCTGCAGTTAGAACTGGCTGTGTGGTTGGCCAGCTGGTTGGTCCAACGTTTGCCAGTCCCACTTGTGACACCAGTCACCAGTGCCTCCACGCACACAGTGCAAGAGTGTCAGGGCTCTGAAAGCTCCTCATACACTCCTGTCACCTCTCCAGCTTCTCACTTGTCTGAGCACATGGCTGTGGTGCTTGAAATTGTTTGTGTAACTCAGAAAAGTCTTTCACCAAACTGATCACAGCACAGATTAAAGTACATTAAAATCTGTTACCTTTGTCAGTATCAAAATATATTGCACTTCTATTCAATAAGTTCTTCTTACTCTGGAGAAGCACAGATTTCACCTCCAGACTTCACTTTTCCCTCAACAGTTTAACTTCAAATATTTTTCCTTGAGAAGACAAAAATAACCATAGTTTGTTATTAAGTAATAAAAGTCAATCAGAAGCTGTAGTGCTAGACGTATGCTTTAAACCTGAGAAGATAATTGTATGCCATTTCCTTCAGATTACAAAGGCAAGCTGAGACAGAAGTTATTTCCATTCCTGTCAGTGAGGTAAATAACATTACAATGCACCTTTCTCATACCTAGGTTGTATCTGAGCCATTTGCACGAAATAAATGAAGCAGATAATAGAATTTATCCAAACAGCATCTAATTGAGTGTTTGTATTGGCAAAAGCATTGGCAGCAGGGAGATGCTGCTGTGTGAAAAGAGACTGAGGGTTTGCCCTGTGCTGAATATAGCCAGTGCCAGTCATCTCCAGTATGCCCACAGCAGGGCACAGCTGAGCACATCAGCCTGGTGGCACTACTGGGAAAATGTATTTCAGGAAGAAAAAAAATGCCTGATGGAGAGAAGATCAGGAAATAAAATGAACAAGAAGCACATGAAAAACTAAGGCTAGAGGAAGAGAAAAGGGAGCTCCTACTGTAGGAGCAGATACCCATGCTAAAGCCCATAGAGGAGACCGTGCTAGAGTAGATGGGTTTTCCTAAAGAACTGCATCCTGTGGAGAAGGCAGGAGTGGCAGAGAGAAGCCATTGTATGCTGACTGTAACTCCCACCATACTGCTTGGTTACTTCCCCACAAGTAACCAAGCAGACTAGACAGGAGTGAAGATGAAAGCAGAGGAGGAAAGGTGTTATTTCAGTGTCTGTTTTTTTGTCTCCCACTACCCAAATTAACAGTTGCATTTTTATTTTAGTTGGCAGAAATTAAGTCAGTTTTCCTCAGTTAGAATCAGCTTACCAATTACTGTTGCAGGCAAAACAACCTTCCTGCCTTTATCTCAGCCCACAGGCTTTTTCCTCTTTCCTGTACTTCCTGTTCTCTCCACACATCTAGCTTTGGAAAGGAGCGAGCAAGTAGGAATCTGACTGCTAGCCAAGACCAAAAACATTGGTATGGTACCTGTTATTTCCTCTGCTCATCTCTAGTTTTAAATAGCAAAATTATAGTTTGGTGGTTTTTTCCCCCGTTTCCAGGTAACACAGGTTAGCAAACTGAAGTAAGAAAACATGTAAGAAATAACATCACGTTATTAAACTGAATATTGCTGTCTCATTCCATTTCTTTAGCTTTATAAGAAAGTCTGGAAGTTAAAAAAAACTGCAATCTCCACACAATGATAGGCTTACTTTT